TAGATCAAAAAAAAAAAAAAAGCAAATGAAGACAGAACAGCCACTGGTTCAAAAAACTATAAAGAGATGTCTTTTAGTTTCAACATGAGGTTTGATAAACGGTTTATTATTATGAATCAACGGTTATGTTGTCGTGCTGAGCATGACGGAAGAGGAAGAAAATCAGATTTCTTTGAGGCAGCATTACCGGTTGTCGTAATTACGGTTACAGTAGTTCGATGAATTTTGGAGTAAGGGCGCATGATACCATTCAAAAATGAATTTCGGATATCCTTTTGTCGTGGTACAAATGTCAGTACAACATTTAGTTGATTTATATAGGTCAAAAAGACAACATACAGTTTTATTGTTGCCATATATCTAACACCTCGAGCATCGCAAATAAATTGATACAGCATTGGAATGATATATAAAACTGAAAAAAAGGAGAGAACATTGTTGCGGGAATTGAAATTTTGAAAAATTAAACGTTGTTTTCTTTTTTTTGATTTGAACTTTGTGCTCAATAAACTTCAAACTTTAATCATTTTTTCTTAATTTTTCAAGATGGTATTACTCGGTTGTTACTGTTGTTGCTGTTTTCACAGAAAAGTAATTTCAGGGGCACTAATCCAAATTTTTACTGATTAGATCGATTAAGATAAGAAAAAAAAACCTAGTTAAAATGTAGAATAGTAGATCAGCTAGTTAATATTAATAATGAACAATTGTTAACTGCTTACGTAGGGTAGTTATGTTACATATTATGGTACTAAACGTATAGCTTCGTTGCCGTTTTGTCCAAAATTTATTCTTTACTTCTCTAGACGATGATGTATTACTGTTAATCCTGCACATCTTTTTCCGTTTTCTAAAAATTGTTCTATTTTTTCTTTTGTTATTTGCTCAAATACAGTAATATTATGTTCTACTAAAAGTATATTGAGAAAGATGATATACGTTTTCTTTTTTTTATGATACGAAATTTTTGAAGGTTCTTTTTTTTACATTACAGGAATTTAACTGTGTTTGAAAAAATTGTCTAAAAGATTTAACAGTTGATAACCTTACTGTTATTTAGATACCAGAGATGTGGATTACTTTTTTGCTGACATTAAGAATGACTTACTGTCGTATAATGATGATAACAGCGGTCATCAAAACAATACTGAGAGAAGCAGATACTGTTCGAATTATATCAATATAAAGCAATGCTGGATCGGTAAACAATTTTTGAGCGCTAAATATGTTAAGTAATTATGATGAACCATTGAATAGTTATTGTTTCACTTCAAAATAATTTAAGCTACAATATTAATATCAAATAAGTGGTATGCTGAAAAGTTCAGGCACTTGATCAGTCGACGATGAAAGACAACATTTGGAAGTCATGCAGTTTTAAAGAACTTACATACAAGCTTGTTCAATTATACGATTTGGTAGAGAAGATTCGACAATACTTGCAGTAACGCAGATAATTGTTGGTACAGCAATAGCAAAACTGACAAGTGCTTTGACGATTACTGCGTGTCTAGAAAAATACAGGACCGGATCGATAACCACAATTAGACGATCCACACTGTTTGCCAACAGCACTGTACTGACTGCTATGTTTGA